AAGAAAGAAAGAAAGAAGAGAAGAGAGAGAGAGAGAGAGAGAGAGAGAGAAAAGAAGAAGAGGAAAAGATGAAGAGGAAGAAGATGTTAGCGGACATACGGGGTGAAATGTGTCCGCAAAATACTTGTGCGCGTTCTCGTCTGTCTGAAAAAACTTCTTGGTTTACAACACTTTGAAATCGTGGAGTTACACCGTCGTCCTCACACACGTCGCACGAAAATCCCTCCTGATAATGCAATATTTTATTATATATACAATTTACCGTACGATTAATGAGAAACGACGATTTTGAAGAACGATGTCATGTCGGCATGCGCAGAATTTTTAACTGATGTGTAACGCGAGGAAAAAATTAATGAGCTCTTTTCTTAATGACTTATCGACTTAGCTTTGATTTCGCGGGCGAAAATATCGGAGAGTAAAAACGCGTCGAGAGAATACGGAAAGGACGGCGGGGTAAATATCCGGTAGATATCGCGAGTGATTTCGTTCGAGCTCGTGGAATTCGCGTGCCTGTATCCGCTTACGCTAATCGGCGTACGATTATACAACATGCAAGGTATACAAATATCGTAGTTACTGATGGAATGTGTGTTAATACGTGCACGGCACGTGCTTTGCATACGAGGAACGAAGCTCCGAGACGAAATTTACGACGAAATTTGGGTGCAACGATCCGTTTCTGCGATGGCAAGACGCTCGCCGAGGAAAAGAGAAATTTTTGCATCCTACACACAAAAATGTCCTTATCCACTCGTATTTCGACGGATGCGGCAATTGCGATGATCGGATATTTTCCGCATAGCTATAGAGATATATATAGTGTCTGTTAATAATTTATTACGCGCGCTAAGTCGTTTTGTTATTACATCGTGTTGTGTAGAAGAATTTATCGATGTTGTTATTAACGATTGTCTTCCTTTTGATAATCGATAGTCCTGTATGATTGCGGTATCCGTCGCTGTTGATAAATTCGCAGGATGCAATAACATTTACATTGTTAAATCAAATAATACAAGTAAGTATTTAAAGATTTTTTTCAAATAAACCAAGACGGGGTTTTATTTGAAATCAATAATTTTACTCTTTAACATAATATATTTCAGATATAAATCTGTCAAACATTTACACTTGAATATATACATTCGACATATTGATTCTTCCTTAAAATAAAAATTGATATACAAATTTATATATCTAATACATACATGCAAGGAATAATAATTTTATTTTCATGAAATACAAAGAATTATAAATATAGAAACATTTAAATTTTGATAAACGCGTATAGCGACTTGTCGATGACCAAGTAGCAACGGATCATTGTGATTGCACGAACCAATTTCGTGTAATCGCGATGTCTTGAAACAGCGAATATAATCCACTCTTAGTTAGTTGATAACCGACGATGTGTGAGGAAACAAAGAAGAATTAATAAAAATAATCAACGTAAAAAAAAAAAAAAGAGAACAAGGTGACGTCGACCCATCATAGATTCAAGCACAATAAGGACTAGTAGGGCCAGGCACAATAAAATTCGGCCGTCACATTGTAGGCAGCGATCTGTTAGAGCGACAACTCGTATAAGTATCTATATAGCGAGGCTATTAAATAAACACATATTGTCTATTGTCCGACGAGTGTATTTATTGTTGACGCTGATCGTTCCCTTCTGCAAGCCTCTAAGCAATCCGATATTGAATGAAATAAATATCTCACGGAGAAAAAGACTGACATTTACTCTGTTGACTTCCCAGTTTCTATTCCTGAAGATATCTACGGATTTCATGCTATTTATATAATGCGTGTGTGTATAATATATGTTATAAATATATATATATATATATATCTATCGTAATAATATGTATATATCACTGAATTTAAAAAAAAATTATTTAATACTAGAACATAACAGACGCGCGTTACGTAATAATATATCGATAAATGCAAGATTATTATTACTTTTGAATATTTATTTATCATTCTTATATCTTAATAAACTTTTTAGACACATTTTTAGGTTACTGTATCATTTTATGTTTTATTTATAAGCATTATTTGAAAATTTTTTTATAAATCATATTCCATCCATGAATTATACATATATCCTATCCCTTTAGAGTATACAGCAAAAATGCAAAAGTTTTTAAAATTTTTTTGTTAAATGTTAAACATAAATATTACATTTCTTCAATTGAAATTATAACTTAATTAATGAACAACACAAATAAGCTTCAACAATATCTTTTACGTCCTTTCTAAATGTGATATGTTAAGTATCTGAAGTTTGCTTTCGAACATTACATTTAACAGTGTTTTTTTATTTTAGTTGCGAGTATGCATATATACTATATATATATATATATATATATATATATATATATATATATGTATGTACGAGTATGTAGGAATTAATTAGTGATTATTTAGTAGTAATTATTTAACTATTATTTAATAACAATATTAAGATTACTAATTGTGTTATAATGAAAAAAAAAAGATAAAATGAATATATTGAAAAATACGAAAGCTTTAGTAACAGAAGGTATGTTAATTAATCCATAAAAGCGAAAATACGTTAAATATAACCTAACGTGCAAAATAAAAAAATTGCATGATTTGAAAAATGTTTTACTAAGATTTTCACATTTTAATTGTTCAGTCAAATTTATATTTAGATCGATCCTCGCGTGCTCGATTGGAACAACATACTAAAATATTTGCATCCATGTGTCCTGATGAGATCCTTGATTATTACAATAACTATGAAACCAGAGAATACGATACAACGTTGATGCTCGGCGACATCTCAGGTTTGGAGCTACTCATTTGACGTCATATGTCACTCATCATGCATGAAGCTATAATACACGACTTCGATTACTGCATAGGCTTCACGGATCTCACGGAAAAGTATTCGAAGACCGGTGTTGGCGGTCCCTCAAAACTATCGGAAACTTTGAACAGTTATATCGGCGCGATGGTGCAAGAAATTCTCTCGCATAACGGCGACGTCGTGAATTTTTCCGGCGACGCGTTCATAGTGATGTGGAAACTTCAAGAGGGGATGTTTATGCGCGATATAGCAACGGAGGCGATGCAAACGGCGTGCATCATACAAAAACATTTCGGAACTTATAACACCGATGTCGGCGTAACGCTCAGAGGTTTTAATATATTCTATTTTTATTATATTAAAGTGCTGAGTTTTAGCATCTTCGAAATTAATATCGACAAATTTATAAATCAAAGATGCAAAGGCGCAAGGATAGTGTACAATGAATAATAGATTTATGTTTTTTTTTTTAAACATTATGTAATAGATTGCAGAATCTCTTACTTTCAGCAATTTAAAGTTAATTTAATTGTCTTTAATAGTAAAGCTTGCCATTGCTTCTGGAAAAACGTATTTCACATCTATTGGCGATCCAAAAACAATATCTTATTATGTCATTACTGGAAAACCTGTGTGGGATGTAAAATTCGCCGAAGCATTATGCCGGTATTGTAGCAAAATGTTATTTGCACTTAACGTGTATAATTTTTTTATATAGATGTACAGGTTTTACATACATAAATTTAAAATGAAACAAATAAAAAGAAAATAGTTTGAAATAAAAATTATTCATTTATCTAAATGTATATTAATTTTATAAATATATAAAATATAATCATAAATTATAATCATAAGGATTAATTTATGTTTATAAATTTATATAGATAAATAAAAGATAAATAAAAGATGCCATCTTTTTTCCTTATTTATTCTATTTCGTTTATGAGTGAGAAGTCGGCCAAATGTAAAATATCGACAATAAGTTTTATTTAGAGGTGGCGATATTCTCGTGGCACCCAGTAGCTGGCAGTGGGCAAATCCAAACGAATATGTTTTCGAACAACTACCGGATGGTGTACATACTCTGATCATAGCTTGCACAATAATGTGGTATTTGAGACCTTACGAAGTTCAAAACGAGAGAGGCGGTACGTAATAATTTGATAGTGGGAAAATGCGAAAGGAATTTTATTCAAAGTAACTTTCAATTGCTAGATTACGCAAACACTATACATGATGAGGACTTCATCGATTTAATATCGTATAAAGTACCAGATAATGTCACGGATTGGACCGGCGAGAAAGATTATTTTGAGGAAGTCGGTTATACTCGTGAGTAAAAAAAAATTATGTGTCCCTTATTTTCACGTTGTTTCGAATCAATTAAAGCCACGAATCACAAATATAATTTAATTTTGTAGTGAGGCCCAAAGTCATAAAAGCAGCTAAAGAGGGATTGAAGGATTCATTGAGAAGCTACATGCTCAGACCGGTAATACGATCCGTGGATATCGACGAACCGTTGGAACATCTTACAGAGATGAGACAAGTAGTCATACTCTTTATCAATATCATTACAACGGTTATCGACAATGAAGGATTAATCTCGCTTGTTTCCGCGGCTTATAAAATAGTCTGTGGGTACATATTCGAACTCTTACTTTCACTGGTTCTTAAATATTTCTTTGTCTTATTTCACATTTTCATAATTATCTTTATTTGATCGTCTTATAATTTATTCTATTATAGCCATTTGTTATATTAAAGTCATGAAAGTTTAAGTAATTTTACTTTACTTAAATATTATGGCAATCAATTTAAGAATAAATTACCGGCGATATTAAAGTTATTTTGAAGATGTTCATAATTACTAATATTTTTCATTCTTCAAGGGTAGTCGGTCAGATGCGCGGATGCGTGAACAAGACGTCTCTCTTTGATAAGGACTTAATATTCCTTTGCATATTTGGATTGCGCGGTGACAAACATGAATTCGAATCGCAAATCGGATTGAGATGTGCCAGTAGGTTACGAGAGGACCTTCAAACTATGAACAATATAAAATCTGTGACAATCGCCGTTACCACTGGAATGACATATTGCGGCGTAATCGGCCATGTCTTACGAAGGGAGTATACGGTGATAGGAATGTCGGTGAATAAGGCAGCACGCTTGATGGTTGCATATGATAATAAAGTAATTAGATTCTATAAAAGAATAATTATTTATCTTTTATTATATTTGTCTTTTTGGTCTTTCTAGTGACATATCATCGATTTTCAATTTTTCAGTGGAGAAAAATTTTAGTAGTATAAAATCTTAGCATGTAAAGATCTTATCTATCTGTATATTTTTAGTATCTAAAGCTCTTTAGCATACTTCAAAAAATAAATATTTGACTTTTGTTCTGTACAACAGAGTAATTTTTATTATATGTAATTTATTTATTCTTAAGGTAATATGCGATCGCGATAGCTTTTTGCACTCTCGTCTCGAAGCGAAACACTTTATTCTGCAAGAGCCAAGACATTTGAAAGGAATTACGAATGTAGGTCCTGTCTATGAATTTCAGGAAGAGATAAAGTAATTTTCACATTTTGTAATTTATTACAATTTATTTTTCTAAAGTATTATTTCTTACTAACAGTTTACTTGTGATTGCAGATATGTTGCACCTGAATTAATACGTACAAAGTATCCCTTGCTCGGACGAGATGAGGAAATTAAGATTTTTCGACAGATGTTATCGGATATAATGAAACATTTTACTATCGACAAAACAACAGAATATTTACATCTCGAATACAACACGCTAATTATAAAGTAAATAAGTAAGGAATTTTGAATTTAATTTTTTTAAATCTCTATTGATTATAAATTTCAGAGGCGAACCGAGAATCGGGAAAACGAGATTATTAGATGAAATAGTGCAGATTATTCCCACAGGTGTATTATCCAACTATACTTCCTTGATCATGAATGACGCTAAGGTTGACGTATACATTGCAAGATTTTCTTAATTATATTTAATTATGTTTTCTTATATTTATTGATTGCAAAATATATAAAATCAAATGCTTCTTTATTATTTTAATTGATAATTGCTATTTTTGAAATAAAATATTTTTCTAATTAAATAATTATTATTAATTTTTTATTTAAAGTTAAAAATTCAAATAAAATTCAAATCAATGGTTTCTTTGTTAACACAGGTTTCTTATAATTTGATCCATTCGATATTTTCGATACCTTTGGGCTTTAACATCGTCACAACGTCGAGAGAACGTGAAGAAATACTAATATCACAACTAGGCCAAATACATGAATCGGATTTTCTCTGCGCCCTTAATCAGCCCTTTAATGTCCGTTTCGTAATGAATCCGGACTACAATGCGCTGTCCCGCAGGCAAAAACGCAATGTGTTGCGCAAATTGTTATTCAGACTAATGAGAAGTTGCTTCAAGGAATTATGGGTAGTGATTATCGACAACATCCAATATGGTGACCAAGATTCTATGAAACTATTTCCTATGATAATCAAGTGGGACACGGTCTTTTTCGTTCTTAGTCTCGGACGCAAACTCGATGACGGATACGAAATGCATCCCATCATTTTGGAGAAAGCTCGAGTATATGAGCATTAAAATAAGAATAAAACATATATTAATACATAAATTATTTTCTTTTTATTATTAACAGATTATTGAATTGAGTCACATAGACAAATGGTATCATGCAGGACTCGCATGTCAGATTCTTGATACATGTGGAATTCCTCCAGAGCTCGAAAAGTTGATCATGTCAAATAGTTTTTATTATTAGTAACAGCCAAAATATAGATTATTTTGCATCTACATTTTATTAATTTATTATCGATGTATGTCGCTTTATTTTAGATTGATTCAAGAGAAAAGTTTTGGTAATCCGGGATGGATAGAAAGTTATTTGTTAAGCCTCACGCAGTCTGGTAGTCTCGTAATAATGCATATCCGTAGAATGATTGCCGAGGAAATGGGCTACGTGCTTCCTCCCATTAGTATGCTAAGAAGGTCTGTTTATAATTTTAAAACATTTACAATTAACTAATATTGATACGAAGTTATTCATAATTGTCCTTTTATTATACATCATAATCAGGATTAGGAACGTTACTTCAAAAAAGTAACACGTTACTTTCCAATCTTGATAATAATTATACAAATTGTAAAATAGTTTTTCTTAATCGTGATAATAGCAATTAAATAGTAAATTAATAGAGATTAAATTAATATAAAATTATTTCAAATTTACAATTAATGATTAATGAAATTAATGATTAATAAAATTATTTTAAATATACAATTGTCCAGGGTAGTTTCAGAAGATATTTTTATAGATAATGAGACTGAAGAAGATCGTTTAGATAAATGGAAGATGTATAGAACAAGTTATCAAGTAAGTTTTCTTTCTTTATTTTCATCATTCCATCTTAATAAATAATATAAAACATTTGATTTAATTTCAGAATGGTGCACTACAACTGGAAAGCATCATTCATAGACCTGGAATGCCAATTTATGACGAAGAAACAATTGCTGTTTGCAAATTTACGGAAACCTTTGTACCAGAAGAGGGAGATGCTGACGTGACAATGGACGGTAAAAATTAATTATGACTTGGTTAATTAATCATTAAACCATTAATGACTACAATTTTAATACTTGTACATTTTTATAATTAAACATTTTTTATTTAGATTCGAAAAATTGTGTAGTTGTATCGTATAGTTTATACATTGCATAATATTCTATTCTTTATAAAACATTATTTTATTGTATGTTACATTCAGTAATGATCTTGAAGATTTTCGATTCGTTAACACCGTTGGATCAATTATTATTAAAATGCGCATCAGTTTTGGGAGAAATTGTTAATAGAAACATATTGCAGTTTCTAATGGAAGATAAAACAACAAAGGAAATTGGGTTTGGTAAATAATGTATAGCAAAAAAGTGTTGTATTAAAGTTTCAAGATTATAATATACATAGGAGATATTATATCTAAATAATTAATTAAATCATTTTAATTAAAATTAACACAATTTTAAATAATAGTAAAATTAAATTAAATAATTAAATTAAATTATTATGCCGCGCGTGATTAAAAATTTTTCTAAGTCGTATCATCATTGTCATATATGATCACAGCTATCAAGAAACTTTTCGAGATTCGAATTTTTGGATGTGCACGGGGCGACTTTAGTATAGGTGGCAGACCATTGGTGTTCTATAGGAATATAAGGAAACTCAGTGTCGGCGTAGAAATTATGTGCGAATGTGTAGGTCTTATGATACCAGGTACACATTGGACAAAAAAATTTGATTATAAAATATTATAAATTGATTATAAAATTATATATTTTTATTCAAAATTTTTGTAATGAAAATAAAATTTATTTAGAGGAACTAGCTGATTTGCCGCGATATGCATCTTGCGGTCTGATGCGTTTTAAAATGTCGATGTTTCGCGAAACTACTTACAGGTAATGAATGATTTTATTATTGCTTTTTGAATAAATTGTTATAACAGAATAATTATGATATAATATTTTAATTTGTATTAACTTTTTGAATCTAATTTTTCAAATATTAATGAAACTTTATGTAACTTTTTATGTCTACATGTGAAGATCACTCACGGAAAATCACAAGATAGAATTACACAGCAAAGCGTTAAAATATCTTCGACAACATACCAAACGATGTATGGCTTGTGGTGAAATACAATTTGCAAGATTGTTGGGTAAAACAGCTGTGCTAGAAACTAACAGAAAAAGATTTCAGACATCAATTGACATCCAGCAACTTGAAGAAGTAACTTATGTTCTCAAAGAAGATATAAAAAATGGTATTTGGAATATGTATTTGGAATTAATTTATTAATATGCAATTAAGCTGCTGTAAATATGCAATTTATTTATTTAATTATTTATTTTGAAATTTACAAAAATTCTTAATTGTTGTAATAATATGTATGTATATTAACTTATAAAATTGTATGATTATTTTCTAATAATATAAAGATATTGTTAGATATGCAACGGATAAAAGAGAAAACTGCAATATGTTTAAATATTTTTCGAAAAGTCAGAAAACCTACCAAAACCTTCTCTAATGTTGACTTCGCCAATTGTCAGTGTTATCTTATCTTAGCGACTGTTTATGCTCAAATGTTGGAGCATTGTCAAGGAATTGGTAAGTCAATATAAATCAATACTGAATACGTAACAATTATTGTACATATTATATATTTTTTAATTTTTAATTTTTGTAAATTATTAGAATTATAAACTGTTGTATTTTCTATTCTAGGAAAACAAGATATGATTCTGACGGCAATTTTGGAATTTGTTGAGATTTGTTTGGCAGGTAATAATATACCTCAAGCTTATAGACTTCTGAGTGATGCTGAAACTTTGCTTGGACAAGTATGTACAAGGCGGATATATATTAAAATAAAAACATAATAAAAGCAATAAAATTACAAAGCTTAATTAATTAAGGTTCTTAATGATAGATGTTTGAAGCTGACGAGGAAAAATCAATAGCTCTGCTTTATCTCACTGCAAAAATCCAAACATTTCAAGGTAAATGTTTTCTGGAAAGTGGTTTACTTTCTGAAGCAAAGAGGAAGTTGAATGAGGCATTGAACAGTCTGGGCTACAATTTTCCACAACGAGAATTCAATATCAACTTGAAATCATTCCTTCAGCTCGAACAGCTAAGATGGAGACTGATCTGTCCCAAACTTTGGGAAATTGACATTGCCGATGAACTCACCATAAATTATATCGAGCAATTGGCTAAGTGTTTGGCACAAATGTTCAATGTTTTCAAAGTAAGAGTCATTAATTTGCAAAGAATTAGCAATAATTATTTTTGAGTCTACGTGATCATAAATCGTTTATAAAAACTTATAAAATAATACTATAAAATAATTTCATATTTCACACGCAAGTAATTTTTGTGACTCGTTCAGTTTTGTGAATAATTACTTGTAATTTTATGTTGTATATTTTATATCATAATTTTAATATTCAAAAATTACGATTATAATCCACAGGGAACGAAGAAAATGAAAAAATATGAACGGCTAGCAGCTATCTGGGGCTTAAACGCTGCACTGGATTCGTCACAAGATTTTCTTATGCTCTGCACTTCATTCACAAACATGATGCTCACCGCGCATGTTTACCGAACCAAGTGCTACGCCAATAAATAAAATTATTAAAATTACAAAAAATTTTTTAGCTTAATGAAATCAATTGATTAATCGATTAAAGATACTACGAAACTCAATATAAGCATTATTAAATGTTATCGTTTTGTTACAAAAATACTTATTATATTATTTAATTATTTTTAAACAGACGAATTGTTCCTCATTTGGAAAAACAAGCTCTTAATATTTGTGCGAAGAAAGGAGACTTGCTCGAATTCCAAGAACTCAAAGCCATTGCCAAGCTTTACGCAGCGATATTTTTTTCGCGATGGTTAAGAGGAGAAATCAGTAAAGCAATTAGAATCGGTTTTATCACACTACGGATGGCTCAAACCATGGATTCTGTGTTTCTCAAACAGCTTATAATACCGAGATTGGCTCATTTGCTCATGCTCTTATGTCGTCATTCCGAAGTCGTGACTATGCTGAGAGAATTAGGTAAGGCTGTACGAATCGACAAACAGGTATTAATAAATAGAATCTAAAATGTATCTGTAAAATATGATGGAGTATATAATAAATTAAGTATATTTCAATTACTTATACATATATCATAATATAAGTAATATCATATAATATAAGTATATATTATATATAAGTATATTTTAAAATTGATATATACAGAATTTGTATCGCAAAATTATGTGGACAAATCAGGTCGTACATGGTATTATGCCATTTGCGCTGACATAAAACTCGACACCGGCCTGACAGTTCTCTCATTTCACAATTGTGACAAATATTATCTTCAGGAAGGAGAGAGTATAATCAGTTTTCAAGATCCCGAAGCGGAAAGGCGATATTTCACCTCAATGTGGTTATGGTAAATACGAAAAG